TGTGTGTGTGTGTGTGTGTGTGTGTGTGTTTTGTTGGTTTTGTAAAAGTTTTTTTTGACAGCAAAAAGTGACAACCATGGCAGTGCTCGGTCTAGCTAGAATATTATAATCCCAATGTATGCGTGGACGCCACTACCACTGAAGTCAGTTGCGAATCCCACCGATTCCTCTCAGGGCCCCCCTCTTTCAACCGCCCCCCGCTCAGAGCGCCAACAATGACCCCTAGTATCGGTATAGGGTTGCCTGTGTCCAATCTGGATGAAAGAGGCGGGGCTGGGAGAAGCTTTGATGCCGGAGCGGAGCAAAGAGCGGGAGAGGCCGTTGATCAGACTTTATGAGACAGGCCAGACGAGAAGAAGTCCCTAGACCAGAAATCCAAAACGTCTCTCGAGTTTAAATAGCGCTCGTAATGGTAGTGAGAATAGCCTTCAACACAGTAGAGACTTCAGCTGGAAGGATCAACAGCTTGTCTTACATTACCAACACCAGAGCAGAATGGGCTGGAAGAAAAGCAAATTAACTTTTTTCTTCTTCTTCTTCTTCTCTTTGGCGAAAGAAGTTCTTTTTTTCTTCTTCTTATTCTTTGGGTGCGTAGACCTCAAATGTTATTGAGCGCTCTGCAGATTGGGTCGTCGTTTCTCGTGTGACTCCGGTTCGCGTCGTACCTCACTCAGCTCCCAGATTTTGTCTGGAATGTCCGGATTTGGAGGCTGGGGTCAACACCTTAATAGTTGATGAGATCAGAGCGGGAACGAAGTACGAGTTAGTTGGCCGCAAAGCCTTAACAACTGTGGGAAAGGAAAAGAATAGTTCTGCAATGAACAGACTCCGGGCCTCGAGCAAGGATATCTGGTTCCCGTCTCAGAAATTCAATTCTTGCCGTCTATTTAGGTGAAGTTTACGGTCGTCGGGTGGTTGTAAAACGGGTTAATTTGTTTTGAAGTAGAGTTAAGGCGCTGGGTTTATAAGTAGTCTCTAACAACCCTCCGAGAGATATTCAATCTGCCGCCGAGAATCCCCTGGAGAGTCAAAAGTCTTCATGATTCGTTCATCTTCTAAATATATCCTGCAGACCCTTGCATGGGATACTGCGCTGTACCAATGGAATCTATTATTATCACTATTACTTTTGGGAGAGACAAAAGTTTTCCTTATTCGTTCATCTCCAAAGTATATCTGCAGATCCTTGCTTGGGATAGGGCGCTGTATCAATGGAACCTATTATTATCACTATTATTTTTTCCCTCTTAAATTGAAAAAGATTAAAGGTCTTGTTTAGAAGAAAAAAAAGCTTTCACAGAACTTTCAGCTCTTGTATTCTTTGCAATATCAATTTACCGACCCATGTCTACCTTCTCAGCCTGGCTTTGTGAAAATATAGGAAGTTCAAACAAGCACTTGTCGTTTACTTCCGTCTGTTGAAGGGTTGGACCCGTCACAGGTTCAAGTGGAGCAATTTCAACTGTCATTTCGGGAAAACAGCCATGCAGACACGGGCAATATGGCGGTAAAGTTTTGAGCAATCCGACGTCACTAAACTCGGCGAAACTGTGAACAGATGCTCAAAAGAGAGAGTCAACAACTGTGAAGTACTCGCTTCAGACATGGCAGGGCTGAGAACGACCTAACTGTTTGTACTGGATCGGGTTTCGGCTCGGGTTTTGCAGACGACAGCTAGCCTCATGCCCCAGGTGTGTCAGCAGAAGTCTGTTCTGTTTTCTTCGTTGTCTTCTCCAATGTTTGATGGCGCCCTCATCGCTTTGACGTATCATCGTCGACTTCTTCTTTATCGCTGATGACGCGGTCCGGGTTGGGGTGGGGGTGGATGGGGGGATTGGAGAAGTCTGTCTGATATCATCGTGTGAGTGAATATTGATGACGACATCGCTTCCCTTGAACATCTTTCAAAATGTGATTCTAGGTGGTTGTTGCTCTCCCATCGAAACAAATTAGATCAGTTATGACCCTGCTCTGACCCTGCCTGTAAGGGCCAACCTGGGCTGAAAAGAATTCAACGTCCTAGCAGACAGAGGTAAGAGATAAAGATTTCCCCACTACCGACATGGAGATCGAACTTACGTCCTGTTCGTGCGACGTCGAATCGTCCGACAGCTACACCACCGACAAAAGCCATCGCCTTTCGCCGCGACAGAAAGTTTTTTTAGACTCGAAACTGAAACCAGACAAGTTATTGAGTCCTCGGTCGCTACCTTTGTGATATTATGATTGTTACGGTGTTGACCCAACTGACACAGCTTACGTCATTTAGGAGGCCCCGAGGAGCTCATAGTTCTTCTTCTTCTTCTTCTTCTTCTTCTTCTTCTTCTTCTTCTTCTTCTTCTTCTTCTTCTTCTTCTTCTTCTTCTTCTTCTTCTTCTTCTTTTTG